AGGTAAATACATACAGTATCTCTCCAGATCCGGGACAGGGACTCGCAGCAAGGTGTAGAAAGGGGGACAGAACATACAGGTTCTCTCCAGATCCGGAGGCCATTTTAGGCTCCCGTCATTTCTATTTCTTATAAAGTAAATGAAATGTTCCTTGTGATCTATAAGTCACCACACGGACTTATATATCTTCTAATCTGATCTGATAGTAATTTGAGGTTATGTTTTACTTTCTAAATGACATTTTAAATTATGGGACAGTCGATGTTGTGATTTTCTGACTACGCTCCGAAGAAAAAATATAGGTCGTCATCCTAAGCGGGATAAACATGCTATAAAAATTGTGTATAATTATTGAAATAATTATCACAGTTTTGTTAATTAATCAGACAAAAATGTGGCTCATCAGATATAATCGTCATTCGGTAAAAGATAATGATATTCACGCCTTGCGGAATGATACACCGAATGAGAAATCCAGTACGACACGAGCGATGTTAGTACTTCATACTGACTGACCAATGACGTTTGTTTTAAAACGTATAAAGATTGGTGTTATATAATCTTCATTGTCTATTAGGCATGTCCATGATGTCGACATGTATTGTACGTAGAATTATTTGACATCAGCTAATTAAACAGTAGATGTCTAATATTCGAGACGGAAACAGGTAACAAGTCATGTACACGTGAATTTCACGCGTGATTACAAATATGTCGGTGGTCATAGTGCTTAATTCATACCTATATATATGTAGTTCTTGATGTCATCAGGTAAGACCAATACTTTTAAGCAAAAGATTTGACACTGCAACATAACCTCTGATGACATTTTTTCTGTCCTGAACAGGTTGGGATCGCACGTGATCTGGGGAAGTCGAGAGTATCTCGCTTTCGCGAGAATTCTCTGTATTTTACAAGTGATTGAACACAATATAAAACCCCAAATTTTCCGAATGACGACCCTTTACAGGTAAGTGATAAATAGTACACAATTTGACTCACCAGTACAAAAATCTATATACTGAGAGAATGTAACGAAGTTTCAGTGCATTCTCACAAATGTAAACAGATTAATTCATATGAGTAGGATGCAATTGTACCCATGCATTATCACTTACCAAAGCCAAGAAAGGTCAAATTTCGAAGAAAAAAATATCAAATCGTGTTATTACGCCAATAAGAAATAATTACACCTTTCAAAGGCTTTAGTAAAGAACTGAACAGAAGCAATGCAATTGTATTCTTACCTGTAAAAGTCATTATAACAACTTTTTTCGCGGTAATACGACCTTTGAAAGGCTTTATTATGACTTTATTCCTGTTGTTATGCGTTATGCTTTTATTCACGTAATAACAGGATTTTATATTTTTTTTCTTTGAATTTTGACCTTTCTAGGCTTTCTAATCACTTCTGTCAGCATTACGTCAAATTTAGAATTCTTGGCTGCTACCAATACAAAGATCTCTATAATGTAAACAAAGTAAACGGGACATCTATAGTTATCCATGTCCTATATACCTGGTCATAGGCAGGTTTCAATTCATATGAATATGATAAATCGTACCCCTGCATCAGCACACCTGTCAGCATTACGCCTAATTTAGAATTCTTGGCTGCTTAGGACTCGCTAGCTAATCCTCATTTTCTATATTACTTAAATGCATCCCTGTGCTCAGAATGTTGATTAATATTTCCAATGTGCAGTAAACTCGTTCAACATGGATATTATGGCTAGCTCTTTTAACATTTAATACTATTTCTTCTTAAGGTGAAATTTGCATTTAATTTATTTCACTTCTGTTTATAATAATAATAAATAATAATAATGTTTAGTTCATTTTGCCTTAAATTGAATTAATTCTGTGGATTATGTTTTTTTTTTTTCACCAAATAAAAGTATAAAAATATTCCCTTAAGAGGAAATAGGATTAAATGTTTGGGTTGCCATAGTATGGAGTCAGCTGACCATCTCAGTACATAGATACTAATCCATTAGTGGCTAATGGAGTTTTCCCATGTAATGAATTGGATTCAATTGTTACTTATGTAAAGGTGAAACAAAGACATGATTTGTTAATCCCATCAAAGCCCTGAGAAGGTGAAACAAAGACATGATTTGTTAATCCCATCAAAGCCCTGAGAAGGTGAAACAAAGACATGATTTGTTAATCCCATCAAAGCCCTGAGAAGGTGAAACAAAGACATGATTTGTTAACCCCATCAAAGCCCTGAGAAGGTGAAACAAAGACATGTTTTGTTAACCCCATCAAAGCCTTGAGAAGGTGAAACAAAGACATGATTTGTTAACCCCATCAAAGCCCTGAGAAGGTGAAACAAAGACATGATTTGTTAACCCCATCAAAGCCCTGAGAAGGTGAAACAAAGACATGATTTGTTAACCCCATCAAAGCCCTGAGAAGGTGAAACAAAGACATGATTTGTTAATCTGTGTATGCAGTCACTCAGGGGATCTGCCTTATGGATAAATAAGTGAATTTAACTGCTTTTTCTCCAAGTCTTTGGTAGAGGGGAGGCAACTCCAGCTGACTCTGATAATGAACCAAACTTGTGATTCTCTAGCCCATCAGGTGATAGGTTGTTCCAATTACTGCCCCTTGTCTGTCATTCTTCACTTGCTGTCTTTTGTAGACAGTTCTTGTTATATTTATTGTTTGATAAGTACTAGATGAGTCATTCCCAAATATGTACACTCCCCATTGTCCCTGGTTGTCGATCAGACTGATAGGAAAAACAAAATTTCGACTGCTGGCCATATTGGACTTTTGAAAGGTGAAGTTTGTCTTTGTTATTTCTCAGTTTGTAAGGTACATCTTTGTCAAATTTCATAAATGAACTCCCCTCGGTCCCTAGTTGTGCATTGTCCAATTTTAGACTCATCTGAAAAACAAAATGGCCACCTGTTGGCCATGTTGGATTTGAAAGTTGAAGTACGTTCTTATTCTCAAATTTCATATGAAGAGTCTCCTTGGTCCTCCTTTATGCATTGTCTATTATGGGACATGCAGCCATATTTTATTTTGAAAGCTGAAGCTTGTTACATATTACAGTATAAATCTATATATAGACCAACCTTGGTCCCTAGTTGTGTATCTTAAGTTTTTGGACTGATCGTGATCACGAAAAATTATGTCTTACCAGATGGCCACATTGAATTTTAATGGTTGAAATTTGTTATCATGTTTTCTTGGACGAAGTGTGTGATTGAAGCGTGTAGGAGATCTAGCTGTGGGAGTTAACTGGAGTACCTGGGGAAAACCCACATGGTCGGGCAGGTGACCCCATACCATTTCACATTCATACCGGGAAATTGAACCATAAATGCCTAGGTGTAACAAGAGTTTGTTAAACACTATGCCACCTGACCACTCTATTAAGATACATAGGTTCCCCTTGGTCCCTAGTTTTTCATCTTTGATTTTTGGAAGATGTGAAGAAAAAAGAAATTATCGACTTGATTAAGAACTAGTAGATATAAGATGGTGGGCCTGAAAATCCTTCCAAGTACACTGGATAATAGTTTGATGGTATGATGTATTACAAGTACCTATACACTCAAACACATTTACTAGGACTTCATTAGTCTTCTTAAAATTCAGTCCTAGTTTCTGCCATGTCGCCAGATCACTGACGTTTGTAGGTGAGACAATGACTGGAGATGGGGCAAGTTGTCCACTCTGATTCAGTCGCGTCTCCATGTCGCCAGATCACTGACGTTTGTAGGTCAATGTCGCTAGAACACTGACGTTTGTAGGTGAGACAACCTCTAGAGGTAGGACAAGTTGTCCACTCTGATTCAGTCATGTCTCCATGTTACCAAAACACTGACGTTTGTAGGTGAGACAACGACTGGCGGTGGGACGAGTTGTCCACTCTGATTCATTCACGTCTCAACGTCACCAGAACACCAACGTTTGTAGGTGAGACAACGCCTAGAGGTGGGACAAGTCAAGGTGATGAAAACCCATAACCAACCAAACGACCAATTCATTGATCACAGTTACCATACTTACTTGTGATCCCAGTAATCATTTAACTTGATGATTTACGTGTTAGATCACAGAAATTGTCTCTGGTAGAACTATGATGACTGTCCATTAGGCCTCTTGAATTGACCCAAATTTGATTTTTGTAAACTTACATTGGGACGGTCTTTAAATAAAGTTATTAGATGTACTTAGAGTAACACAATTGAATTATAGATGAGATTTTGTTGAACATGATGTTTAAACGACCATTTTCACGACGAGTTTGAGATAGGTATATTGATGAATGCTGTTGGGTTTTACTTGTTCCTTGTCTGCAGTCTCAACACAATCAATGCCTGGTGGAGCAGTCTTCACAGCTTTGAAGCCACAATCTTGTCTTAGCATTCAATGTTGAAATCAATATTCCTGGCTGCATCTATAAAACTTCATTCAACAACAAAATCTCGTAATTAGATACTGAATTAGAAATGTACTAGATAAGATCAATATTTTCGATATATTTAGTGTAAATATGTTGATGAAGTTGATTAACATTTTTTTGAAATAACTATATTTTTTGTGATTTTATCATACAGAAGAAAGCTGTTGCTCTTTTAACTGTTACTATATAACAGCTGTGAAAAGTGAATGTCCGGAGATTACTTATACCCTCGCACGGACCGTGGAGGGATATAACGTTATGTTCAAACATATGTATGTACCTATGACGTATGAATATATTGTATGTATATATGTATGTATGTATATATATATGTGTGTGTGTGTGTGTGTGTGTGTGTTGTTTTTTTTTCTTTGTTTGTTTGTTTACTTTTTGTCATTGCTCTAGCAACTTTATTCTGCAACCAAATATAGTAAAACTTGAAATACTGGTTTGAGTTTAGGGTGCCAAGGTCAATCTTAAGGTCACTGTTACTACTAATAGAAACTCTTAAGATGCAACACAACTTCATTATAAATGGGAGCGAGGGATTTGTATTGTTTCCAATGTCTTGTTATTTACATATGTGTGTTATGGACTGGGTGGAACTGGTCTGGGTGGAACTGGTCTGGGTGAAACTGGTCTGAGTGGAACTGGTCTGAGTTTGAGTAGAACTGGTCTGGGTGAAACTGGTCTGAGTGTGAGTGGAACTGGTCTGAGTGGAACTGGTCTGGGTAGAACTGGTCTGAGTGGAACTGGTCTGGGTGGAACTGGTCTGGGTGGAACTGGTCTGAGTGGAACTGGTCTGAGTGGAACTGGTCTGAGTGTGATTGGAACTGGTCTGGGTGGAACTGGACTGAGTGGAACTGGTCTGGGTGGAACTGGACTGAGTGGAACTGGTCTGAGTGGAACTGGTCTGAGTGTGAGTGGAACTGGTCAGAGTGGAACTGGTCTGGGTGGAACTGGTCTGGGTGGAACTGGTCTGAGTGGAACTGGTCTGAGTGGAACTGGTCTGAGTGTGATTGGAACTGGTCTGGGTGGAACTGGACTGAGTGGAACTGGTCTGGGTGGAACTGGTCTGAGTGGAACTGGTCTGAGTGGAACTGGTCTGAGTGGAACTGGTCTGAGTGTGATTGGAACTGGTCTGGGTGGAACTGGACTGAGTGGAACTGGTCTGGGTGGAACTGGACTGAGTGGAACTGGTCTGAGTGTGAGTGGAACTGGTCTGAGTGGAACTGGTCTGAGTGGAACTGGTCTGAGTGTGATTGGAACTGGTCTGAGTGGAACTGGTCAGAGTGGAACTGGTCTGGGTGGAACTGGACTGAGTGGAACTGGTCTGAGTGGAACTGGTCTGGGTGGAACTGGACTGAGTGGAACTGGTCTGATTGGAACTGGACTCATTTTCCTGTTTCTAGTATATTTGATGATTATTACCAAGTGAAGCCCGTGATAAAGTGAACTGTAGTTCATTTCACTATTATAATGTATTGAACCCCACTATGGTAAAGTGAACTGTGGTTCATTTCACCATCATAATGTATTGAACCCCACTATGGTAAAGTGAACTGTAGTTCATTTCCCCATTATAATGTATTGAACCCCACTTTGGTAAAGTGAACTGTGGTTCATTTCACCATTATAATGTATTGAACCCCACTATGGTAAAGTGAACTGTGGTTCATTTCACCATTATAATGTATTGAACCCCACTATGGTAAAGTGAACTGTGGTTCATTTCACCATTATAATGTATTGAACCCCACTATGGTAAAGTGAACTGTGGTTCATTTCCCCATTATAATGTATTGAACCCCACTTTGGTAAAGTGAACTGTGGTTCATTTCCCCATTATAATGTATTGAACCCCACTTTGGTAAAGTGAACTGTGGTTCATTTCACCATTATAATGTATTGAACCCCACTATGGTAAAGTGAACTGTGGTTCATTTCACCATCATAATGTATTGAACCCCACTATGGTAAAGTGAACTGTGGTTCATTTCACCATTATAATGTATTGAACCCCACTATGGTAAAGTGAACTGTGGTTCATTTCACCATTATAATGTATTGAACCCCACTATGGTAAAGTGAACTGTGGTTCATTTCCCCATTATAATGTATTGAACCCCACTATGGTAAAGTGAACTGTGGTTCATTTCACCATTATAATGTATTGAACCCCACTATGGTAAAGTGAACTGTGGTTCATTTCACCATTATAATGTATTGAACCCCACTATGGTAAAGTGAACTGTGGTTCATTTCACCATTATAATGTATTGAACCCCACTATGGTAAAGTGAACTGTGGTTCATTTCACCATTATAATGTATTGAACCCCACTATGGTAAAGTGAACTGTGGTTCATTTCACCATTATAATGTATTGAACCCCACTATGGTAAAGTGAACTGTGGTTCATTTCACCATTATAATGTATTGAACCCCACTATGGTATAGTGAAGCCACTTTACACTTTGTTTTCAGTTGATGTTTCTTACTGTTTTATCAATTTACTTTTGATCTTTCATACATAATAAAACAAGAAATTAACAAGGGTGGGGACCAATGGTTCACTTCACCATTATGGTATTCTGACCCCGGTTCATTTCACCATAATTCACAATGCATCAGTGTTGAAACTCGGTTTGGTAATGAATTTTTCCACTCCTATTACTTATGTAGATGTTGCTGGCGAGACTTGTGAAGGACGCACGGTTTGTTACTACTGATATCAGGGTGTGTTTCCTTACAGCAATCAATGCTCCTTCTCCAATAACCAATTATCATTTCATCTACCACTTATTATTATGACCTGGTGTACAGGATCTGTACTACAATGTAATTAAGATAATTGTAGGATTGTATTGTGTAACCTATCATTTGATGATTTTCTAAGGAGGAATGTTTGGTCCACCATCGAAATGGTGAGCTATACAAATCACACGATGTCCACGGTCCGTTTGTCTGTAATGAATTTCTGTTGTAGCTATTTCTTGAGAAGTACTTGATGGATCTTTTTCAAATTCCCTTGATCCCCAGTTGTATTCTTTTTTTTTATTATGGGAGTAGTCAGAAAAACAATATGGCTGACAGGTGGCCACCTTGGATTTTGACTTGAAAGATTATCATCACTTTTTCTTAAAGTGCAGGATCATTCTCAAATTTCGTATTAAGGTCCATAGTTGTGCCCACAGGATTTTCAGGACTGATCAGAAAATCAATATGTTTAACAGCTGACCATTTTGGATTCAACAGATATTATTTTAACTTGTTTTTGAAAGAAATTTTCAAATTTTGTTTGATTAAGAGGAAAGAATAAAGAAAAGAAGAGAAAAGATTTTGCCTGTATCAGATCCTTGTGGATTAGTCTACAAGTTGTCTATATACATGCTGACCCTAATTGTCTCTGAATTCTTTTCGTGATATGATACTTTCTATTCTGGCCTGGAATCTCTTAACTCCAGTCATTTTATGTGTTTTGTAGGTTGGGATGTAGAGACTTAACATTCAAAAGGAACTTCACCTGGTAAACTACATTTATATCAAAGTTTTATTTTCAGTACATACTCAGCTCTTATTGTTTGTGTCTAGCATTATCTCCCCTATTAACTCACTAAATACTGAAATAATATCGGTATTTTTCCAGTATTAAGTTTAGGAATTGATGCAGTATATCTATATCATAGAAGATGCAGACATGTAACAGTAGCTTCGTTCTCATTGGGTACAGTAAACAGATCTTATTTGATTTGATTTTTTAGTGTAGTTGTTATTTGCGCAAATTCGCATGATGATATATAAATAACTTTCAGAAATTACAATTAATGTAATCAAATTTTAATAAAAGTTTTCAGCAGGAAATTTAGCTAAATGAGATTAATGCAAATTTACATTCAATTTATTAATTACAGTATGTGAATTTTGTTTTGGATCAAATTTAGGAATTTCAGTTTTAAGGAAACCTTTATACTGTCATTTAAAGTTGGGGCTGTTAAATGTTTCATTGTAACCTTTCAGACATTGTCCTTGTCTCTGATTAGTAAAAAGTAACCTGTGTATTGGGACAACCTCAGTATGCGGTCCACCTTCTGTTCTCAATATAGCAACATCATTCCAGGGGGGTAAGATAGGTTTAACTCAGGTGAACATATTATTGGTTATATCTGAAACACCAGAGGGACTGTAAGCTATGTTAAATCATTTCCAACAGTACTGCCAAAATTGGAAATTAGGAGTGAACACAGAGAAAACTAAAATTGTCATTTTTTCTAAAAGAAAGAATAAATCTAGAAATAGTTTTTTACTTTACAATAACAAACTTGATATACAAAGCTCGTTCCCCTACCTAGGAGTTCTTTTTAATTACAATGGTAGTTTTGCCGCGGCAAAAAACACTTGTCTGAGCAAGCTCGAAAAGCCCTGTTTGTAGTATACCGAAAAATCAGAAATATTGATTTACTGCTTGATTTGAAATTGAAATTATTTGATGCATTGGTATCCCCGATTTTATTATATTCAAGTGAAATATGGGGATATGAGAACTGTTATCTTATTGAAAAGATACATTTACAATTTTGTAAGAGAATTTTGGGGTTGAAGAAAAGTACAACCAATTTTATGGTCTACAGAGAAATCGGAAGATACCCTATTACTATAGATACTAAATTGGTACTCACTAATCCTGAATGAGAATAAATTATCAAGTTGCATGTATAAATTGATGTATTCACTCAACGAAACAGGCCAAATAGAATTCAAATGGATAAACTGCATCAAAAATATTTTAAACAGTGTTGGATTAGGTCATGTATGGATGTTTCAGAGAACTTAATTACCACATATCAATTTTTTAAAATCTGAAGTTGCTCAGAGACTGAAGGACCAGTTTGTCCAATCTTGGTTTGACGAAATGGAAAAATCGTCCAGAGGACAAGTATATAGTATTTTCAAAAATGAATTTGGTATTGAAGACTATTTATTACGGTTGAATAAAAAAGATGCAGAATTTATCTGTAAATTCAGAACAGCAAATGTTAAATTACCGGTAGAATTAGGTAGATGGAGAGGGATACAACATCTTGATCGAGTATGTCCCATGTGTAATAATGGTATAGGAGATGAGTTTCATTTTTTATTTTTGTGTAATAATGATGAAATAAAACAGCTAAGACTGAAGTATATCCGGGGATACTACTGTAAATATCCTAACCAATACAAAATGAAAGGGATGTTCACAGTCTTTAATAAAAAGTTATTGATGAATGTAAGCATGTTTATCCTACGATTGTCATACATTTTATAATGCGACTGCGTTAATTGTTAGCATTGATTGTCCTAGATGTTTGTTTGAGCTGCTTACAATGTATGTTTTCGGAAATCAACAAATATATAACATGTTTATAACTATGGCTGCCTGTCATGTACTAAAAATGTTTCAATATGTATGACCTCTTGTCACACATTGTTGTTGTCTGAGAGAAATAAAAATCTTGAAATCTTGAAATCTTGGTTTTATATTTGTGCCTCTGATATACACAGGTATATGAAAATGATGGTAAGAATACAGAAGTGTAGTATTTACTTACTGTCCTTATTGTTAGAATTACTACAACTTCACCATATTTTTATTGTAGTAGGATGTTAGAACACATATACACTCTCATTCAGTAATTTTTCCATGTAGACCCCCAAACAAAACCAAGTAACTGGATTTTTTTCAGACTGAAATAACCTTTCTAAGAAAATTGGTAGTTATTTGGTACTTTATGTGCATGGATTAGATAGAATTGTGATAAAGTGATTCAGAATATAAGATAAAAAGCTGTCTTATCGGTAAATATTTACAAGGATTAATACGGCACAACAAGCAGCATTGGGTCTGAGCATTACTTGTTGCATGTACACACACAGGGTATGGATTATATAAAAAAACAATAACAAGCTGACACAAGTGTCTTGCAGTACAAGGATATGTACAATTCTTCCAAGAGTCTCGTGTAGCCTTGGAAAAGCTACACCATCATCATTAATCCAAATATTGAATAGAAGACATTGCTATTGAAGCAGAGATGTTGTAGAGAATTTCCCTATAGCTCAGCAGATTTTCAGGATGTGGTACGTGTAAGGGATGACTGCAATGAAACCGTCAGCCAGCATATGTTGGTGCACCACGATGACTCGCCACAGGAGTAGAATTGTAGATGTCATCATGAGGTCATCAGTGTTTCTGTGTGTGTGGCGAGAGGCATGATATTTCACTGTAGCCACTGGTCAACATAAACAGGGCCAAGATATCAGTACAGTCGCAATCATGTAGGACCAACAGGTATCCAGGTGTCACTACAACATCGTTAGACATTATCCCAGGAAACACAAACCAGGTAAGATATCTTGTGTTTTTACCATGTGACAACATAAAGGTTTAAATCTAAAGTATTTTTTTAATGTTGAACGGGGAATGATCTTCATAAGTTATTGTTTATCTATCTTCATGCAAAACAAAATCATTATCATTAAAGATCTTAGCAGTTACTGTATATTTGTTAATCTTATAGATTAAAACAAGGAAGGATAGTGAAGAAAGATGTGTGAGGGTGGGTGATGGGGTGATGGGGTGGGGTGATGGGGTAGTGTGAGGGTGGGGTGAGGTTGGGGTGAGGGTGTGTGATGGGGTGGTGTGAGGGTGTGTGATGGGGTGTGATGGTTTGATGTGAGGGTGTGTGATGGGGTGGTGTGAAGGTGGGGTGATGGGGTAGTGTGAGGCAGGGGTCTGGAAAAATATTTTAAACCACTAGGCACAGAACTGGTGGGATGCAAAATTTACTCATCCGGATTTGAAATTTACTCGTCCAAATTCAGCTATGAAATGGCAACTTAATCAGCAAGGATGTGACATGTGACTTTTTTTCTATTTTTATTTGAAGTTTTAGTGAAAACAATTATGCATTGATGGCTGCTTTGCGTCAGACCTTCAAGATTTATGCCTAGCCGTAGTGTTTGTTTACATCCCGACTGACTCGATGCTGTTAAATACAGACCGGTACATGTTGGTACCGCCTGAGAGCACCTGACATCAGTATGACCAGGGGAAAATGACTAAGGTATTCTGAATGATATATTTGACGTCATGGGAGTTCTGGTGTAATCAAAAGTTAGAGTGCAGACTGGAATATTTTGTTTTTGAAGTACTGTAAACACGTTTCTTTGTTTTAAATCTTCTTTACATTTTTATTGAAATTTAAGTTGTAACATTAATATCATTCGAAAAGAGCACTTGTCCGACACACGACTGACAAAGATAAATCCATGACGACTGGGACTCCTATGTGAGGGTGGGGTGATGGGATGGGGTCAGTTTGGGGTGATGGGGTTTGGTGTTGGAATGGTGTGAGGGTGGGGTGATGGGGTGGTGTGATGGTTAGATGTGAGGGCGTATAATGGGGTGGAGTGATGGGGTGGAATGAGGGTGTGTGATGGGGTGGGGTGAGGGTGTGTGATGGGGTGGAGTGATGGGGTGGGTTGAGGGTGTGTGATGGGGTGGTGTGAAGGTGGGGTGATGGGGTGGGGTGATGGTTTGATGTGAGGGTTGATGATGTCATGGTGTGAGGGTGTGTTATGGGGTGGAGTGATGGGGTGGGGTGAGGTTGTGTGATGGGGTGGGGTGAGGGTGTGTGATGGGGTGGTGTGAAGGCGGGGTGATGGGGTGGGGTGAGGGTATGTGATTGGGTGGAGTGATGGGGTGGTGTGAGGGTGTGTGATTGGGTGGAGTGAAGGGGTGGGGTGAGGGTGTGTGAAGGGGTGGAGTGATGGGGTGGGGTGATGGTTTGATGTGAGGGTTGATGATGTCATGGTGTGAGGGTGTGTGATGGGGTGGAGTGATGGGGTGGGGTGAGGGTGTGTGATGGGGTGGAGTGATGGGGTGGGGTGAGGGTGTGTGGTGGGGTGGTGTGAAGGTGGGGTGATGGGGTGAGGTGAGGGTGTGTGATGGGGTGGAGTGATGGGTTGGTGTGAGGGTGTGTGATGGGGTGGAGTGATGGGGTGGGGTGAGGGTGTGTGAAGGGGTGGAGTGATGGGGTGGTGTAAGGGTGTGTGATGGGGTGGAGTGATGGGATGGGGTGATGGGGTGGGATGATGGGGTGGGGTGAGGATGGGGTGATGGCTTGGGGTGAGGGTCCTTTATTTTGGCATCCATTTATTAGACATTTAAGTATTGTCTAAACATCTTTATAATTTTGTGTGTATCATCACAGATATATTGAAGGTTCCTTCTACTTGTACTTTCTTTGTTCAGGATAGAAATTTGACAAGGTGTTGGATACTGACAGAAAATAAGACAAAACCTTTGTGTCACTAACAGCCATCACAGATAAACGTAAAACACATCATTGTGAGCTATGTCGTAGATATGTCTTGTATTTTGGCTGCGATGTCCTTTTAGTCAATTAAGCCTACTACTGTAATTACTATACAGAATTTTTGGCAGTTGTTTACATTTCTGCTCCACTGTAATGAATACCTACAGACAAATGAAATACATAACATTGTATCGGATGGGTCGTAATAATTGTAGTTTGGCTCCTATAGAGGATATCTATAGCCTTTTGTACATGTCATGTTACTAAATTCAAACTAACATTTTATGGTGTTGTTACAAGTAAGTGCCAAGATAAGTAGCCAACACTTACCCCTTGTGTGTTCTTGATGTCTTTCTTTATCCACATCAACATCCACAGATGTTACAGCTGATAAAGAATTTGGTTACAAATTGTGTTCTGATTGAATATGCTAAAATATCCTTTGTGTATTTAGCATTAACAACTGAACACAAAGCTGAACAGTCAACTTACTTAACCTTTTTACAAAGGCCACCTTTTTGGTTCCCATTGTAATGCTGTTCAGAGTAACTGAACCTCTGTATGAAGGTTACCTGTGTATAAGGTCACCTGTGTATAAAGGTCACTTTTTGTAGACAGGTTTGACTGCACATAGTATTTAATCTAAGAATTTTTCATCAATTATGTCAACTCAATTACGTCAATATAAACTTTATTTGTTTAACAACAGTTGCAAAACAAACTTGAAGCTTATCTTAAGCACTCTAGTTGGCCGGGGTGGAAGCTTACATAGGGTCTTTCCACAGGAAGAAACTGGAGTACCCGGGGAAAACCCACATGGTTGGGCAGGTGACCCCTTACCTTTTCACATCCATTCCAGGAACCAAACCCTGGACGGCTAGATGACAGGCGAGTGCGTTACCACTGCACCACCTGCCCACCCGTTACCAATTACATAATGGTGGTTGAGTGATATTATACAATAAAATTAGACGTACATGATAGTGCACATGCAGATGTCAATAATAGACACAAAAGTTATGTGTGACAAAAGAAGGATGGTAAGTACCATATAAATCAAGAATCAGCTACATGAATCACTCTTAGAAAGTATCTTTCCTGCATTAACGTCTTTTACAAAGCTTTTAATAGGAAATCGTTACAGAAATTGTGGCAAATGTCCTTCACCGAGATATTTTTCAATAATGTTTCATATGGACAAAGTTTGTAAAGACAAATGCTGTGCAAGTAGGGTGTCATGGCAATCTAATTGATCAATTCCAAATGGTTCACCTGGCAAAACATCACTTTTGGTTCAAGTGTTGAAAAATGGTAGGTCAGGCTTTGAGTTGTGTCCCCTGACCAAGATGAAACCAATGTGTATAAAGTTAGTATGTGCTGTTCTCATCTGACATTTTGCTTTATCTAAAGACTGTCTAGCCTATAAAATGTGTCATGCTACTTTTGTCATACTTCAAAGAAAAACTGTAGCATTCTGATTGGTCAGATTACAACTGTAAATGTCGCTTCTACTAGGGTACACAAAATAGTCGAGTCTGACAGGATATATCTGTAAGGTTCCCTGTTATGTTATGTACAAGCATGAACCCTTAACATTAAAACATTTATTTACCATGTCAGAATTCACAGTTTTCAAATCTGTAATTGTAAGCAATTTTTTGTTGAATGGTCCCAAAGGCTTAAAGCCTTGCATTCTGCATTCTAAAGAAGTTCCATAGTTACAGAAAATGATACTGTTGATGTTAAAAACTGAATGATGTTAACTAGACTTAGATTCTAAAGAAGTTCCCTAGTAACAGAAAATCATATTGTCGATGCTAAAAACTGAATGACGTTAACTGGACTCACATTCTAAAGAAGTTCCCTAGAAGTGGAAAATGATGTTCACTATGCCATCCTGAAATGTAGTACATGAGGAAAAATTCCACAAAATGTTATATTAAGCACCCCACTTTGACTCTTAGTATAACTCTATATAACCAGGTATATAAAACACAAAATTCTAAGATATATTTGATGGGATTTATTTTATGTTTCTTCTAGTCAAACATGACTTTTATACACATACACAACCCTAAAAAGCAATGAAGAAAAAAACCTGAACTCTAGCCATGTTTGTCAAAATTTTAAATCCTGTAAAATTTATCAAGCAAACTGCTTTGAAAACCTGATAATCTCAATATGAATGATCGCTACAACCAGTTGTCAATGTTCCATTGAAAACCAATTCTGAAAACATTTGTCACAATTCGTTTGCATTTAAAAAATAATTATTCATGAGTGCTGTTGCACGCTCTGCCAGTAATTATGTTTGCTATATAGTGTTGCTGTTTGATGGTAGATATGATATTGTTCCGTCAGACCTGTGGTTACAATGAATGACAATATAGTGATGTTGTAACATTCAGCCACATACATACGCTAGCCAACATTATTTACACAATAAAAGGAGAAATTTGACATTTCACATATTTTCCATGCATTCACAATTTTTGTTATTATTTGTAAAAAAGATAAGAATGTACTCATAATAATTAGTGTGCTCCTAAAAAGAGAAAGAGGGAACAGATTTGTAAGGATGAAGACGAGCTTTTAAAAGTGGCCCAATGGGCCTGCACAGATTACTACATCATCTTTTAACATCATTGGTATTTATCCCAAGAACCTACTAGCTAAATATGATGTTAAGTCCTTTGGGATCAAACAAATTTGAACCCTTTTACTTTGAATGTAGGCCAAGGACATTTCTTTCCTAGAAACCTATCAGTCAAGCATCCAAATTCTAGGTCTTCTTGTTCAGGAGAAGAAGTTGTTTTAATGCTTCTGAAATAAAGAATGTAGGTCAAGGTCATTTCTTTTCACATACTTTCTTGGCTTTATCATGGAAATCGGTCATATATCAAAATTCAAGGCCTTTTGTTTATGGAGAATAAGTTAAAGGTTTTCAAAATTAAGCCCCAGTGAACTTGAGTATAGGTCAAGGTAATTTCTTTTCTTTTCTTTCAGAAAATTGTTGATGGCGCTGGAGTGGTTTCATTCATTGAGGGAATTTCAACAGAGTTCACATACTTATAAAGCACCATAATATCATGTACAAGATTAAGTTTCAGGGTTATGGAGTCGAGGACAAGGTTACAATTTCAATTTACAGAGAATGGCTTCATTCCTCACAGGATTTTGATCAAACCTCACACACTTCCAAATGAATTTCTGGGATGTTGGTTCAAGGTGAAGGACATTTACTATTTTTAGATACTAATTGTCAGTTCTCTAGCAGTTTCATTCCCTGAGGGATTGTCAATCTTCACACACTTTTCATTCACTTAACTATTTTGAACAATGTTGAGTTTGTGAGTTGTTGGGTCAAGGTCACTAACTAATTCACTTCTTAAGGGATTCAATTAAACATGACACATTTCTGAAGCATCCCTCCTACTACATCATTACAGTGTAACAGCTTGTAGGGAAGGGAGGTAGAGGACATGTATAGTTTTACTCAGTAACATATAATGCTTGATTCTCCAACTGCCCATCCTCCATGTCTGAATCTACCACAATACTCTAGTTGTGTACAGATAAACATGTATAGGAGTGGATGTTAAATGGAGCCCAATGCTGCTTTGGTATTTTACCATTACATCACTGACTGGCAGGGATAATTGCTTCGATTTGTTGTAGCAAGACTTTTCCTCATAAAAAGTAAGGAGATCTGACTAATAGCGTGAGTAACTAAAGAATACATTTACAAGTGATAAAATTCTGACACTTAAAAGCCAGTGTAACAAGTGAAACAATCACTATCTGATGACAATTACACTTCTCTCATATTTCTATCATGGTTGTAGAATTTTTTCTTGACAACCACCTATAATATAACTAATACCTGTGTATAACAGCTGCCTATGATATAACTTATACCTGTGTATAACAGCCACCTATAATATAACCAATACCTGTGTATAACAGCCACCTATAATAAATACCGGTGTATAACAGCCACATATAATATAACAACTACCTGTGTATAACAGACACCTATAACACCTACCAGTGTATAACAACCTATAATATAACTAATACCTGTATATAACAGCCACCTATAATATAACTAATACCTGTGTATAACAGCCACCTATAATGTAATTAATAACTGTATAACAGCCACCTATAATAAAACTAATACCTGTATATAACAGCCACCTATGATATAACTAATACCTGTATATAACAGTCACCATGTATCCTTTCTCTGTGCCCCACAGGGTGTCAGAGCAGTAAGGTTTCACCATGTATCCTTTCTCTGTGCCCCACAGGGTGTCAGAGTAGTAAGGTTTTACTGTGTATCCTTTCTCTGTGCCCCACAGGATGTCAGAGTAGTAAGGTTTCACCATGTATCCTTTCTCTGTGCCCCACAGGGTGTCAGAGTAGTAAGGTTTCACCATGTATCCTTTCTCTGTGCCCCACAGGGTGTCAGAGTAGTAAGGTGTTACTGTGTATCCTTTCTCTGTGCCCCACAGGATGTCAGAGTAGTAAGGTTTTACTGTGTATGCTTTCTCTGTGCCCCACAGGGTGTCGGAGTAGTAAGGTTTCCCCATGTATCCTTTCTCTGTGTCCCACAGGGTGTCAGAGTAGTAAGGTTTTACCGTGTATCCTTTCTCTGTGCCCCACAGGGTGTCAGAGTAGTAAGATTTCACCATGTATCCTTTCTCTGTGCCCCACAGGGTGTCAGAGTAGTAAGGTTTCACCATGTATCCTTTCTCTGTGCCCCACTGGGTGTCAGAGTAGTAAGGTTTTACCGTGTATCCTTTCTCTGTGCCCCACTGGGTGTCAGAGTAGTAAGGTTTTACTGTGTATCTTTTCTCTGTGCCCCACAGGGTGTCAGAGTAGTAAGGTTTTACTGTGTATCTTTTCTCTGTGCCCCACAGGGTGTCAGAGTAGTAAGGTTTTACTGTGTATCCTTTCTCTGTGCCCCACAGGGTGTCTGAGTAGTAAGGTGTTACTGTGTATCCTTTCTCTGTGCCCCACAGGGTGTCAGAGTAGTAAGGTGTTACTGTGTATCCTTTCTCTGTGCCCCACAGGGTGTCAGAGTAGTAAGGTTTCACCATGTATCCTTTCTCTGTGCCCCACAGGGTGTCAGAGTAGTAAGGTTTCACCATGTATCCTTTCTCTGTGCCCCACAGGGTGTCAGAGTAGTAAGGTTTTACCGTGTATCCTTTCTCTGTGCCCCACAGGTTGTCAGAGTAGTAAGGTGTTACTGTGTATCCTTTCTCTGTGCCCCACAGGGTGTCAGAGTAGTAAGGTTTCACCATGTATCCTTTCTCTGTGCCCCACAGGGTGTCAGAGTAGTAAGGTGTTACTGTGTATCCTTTCTCTGTGCCCCACAGGGTGTCAGAGTAGTAAGGTTTCACCATGTATCCTTTCTCTGTGCCCCACAGGTTGTCTGAGTAGTAAGGTGTTACTGTGTATCCTTTCTCTGTGCCCCACAGGGTGTCAGAGTAGTGAGGTTTCACCATGTATCCTTTCTCTGTGCCCCACAGGGTGTCAGAGTAGTAAGGTTTCACCATGTATCCTTTCTCTGTGCCCCACAGGGTGTCAGAGTAGTAAGGTTTCACCATGTATCCTTTCTCTGTGCCCCACAGGGTGTCAGAGTAGTAAGGTTTCACCATGTATCCTTTCTCTGTGCCCAACAGGGTGTCAGAGTAGTAAGGTTTCACCATGTATCCTTTCTCTGTGCCCAACAGGGTGTCAGAGTAGTAAGGTTTCACCATGTATCCTTTCTCTGTGCCCCACAGGGTGTCAGAGTAGTAAGGTTTCACCATGTATCCTTTCTCTGTGCCCCACAGGGTGTCAGAGTAGTAAGGTTTCACCATGTATCCTTTCTCTGTGCCCCACAGGGTGTCAGAGTAGTAAGGTTTCACCATGTATCCTTTCTCTGTGCCCAACAGGGTGCCAGAGTAGTAAGGTTTCACCATGTATCCTTTCTCTGTGCCCCACAGGGTGTCAGAGTAGTAAGGTTTTACTGTGTATATCGGTGTCCTGTATATTATGACCAATAAGTGTAAACACTAGAATGACCTAATGATATATATTTAAAACAGTCCTATATAGCCCTAAAGTTTGTAACAGTATAACAGTATATATAGATAGGCTCCTATTTTGTAAATGTCTGAGGAAGATTGTGCCCACATAGCCAGATTCAGTCCCGAACAATTGATCACCATTCTCTAATGTTTCCTGCTGGTGAAATTTGCAAACACCCAGACATTTTGGTTACATCAATACTGTCGATAGAAGTAAATCATAGCTTCCCAATATTGCAGTGACAGCATTATCTTGCCAGAAATTTCTCATGTTCTGTGAAGATGGCAAGATGGTAAGTGGTGTCCTTCATCCTCCCAAAAAATTCCTGCTGCAACATTTTGGTTCAACATGGGTCTAATTTCTACTTTAAGGTATTACGGATGTACTGTGAAGAATTTTAAACTTTAACAAAACATGAATATTTAAGATTCTTCATCTTTTAAAAAATTTCATGATTTTTTTGTCCTCAGGTTAAAAAAATATAGGTATACGTACTGCTATATCCTCCTACACTTGATTCTACTCCAAATCCTTAGAGGGTTCACTATCTAGAGTGACATTTTCTAAAATATAAATTGCATTCACTGAATGTTTAATTTCAAAACTTTCTAAATTAGTTTGAATTTTCAAATGAATTAATTGTGTTGTGTTTATAGTTGATATTTGTTAAAAGAATGATTAATGTCTACAGTCTGACCGTGTTAAAAGAATGATTAATGTCTACAGTCTGACCGTGTTAAAAGAATGATTAATGTCTACAGTCTGACCCTGTTAAATGAATGATTAATGTCTACAGTCTGACCCTGTTAAATGAATGATTAATGTCTACAGTCTGACCCTGTTAAATGAATGATTAATGTCTACAGTCTGACCCTGTTAAATGAATGACTTCACTTTTTCATCAAAAACAAAATACAGTCAATTCAATGATACCAGAGCTAAATAGGAAGGAAGGATCAGCCTATAAACTACAGCAATCAGGGGTAAAAATTGTATAGAAAGCAAGGAAAATAGTAATTCTATCCACAGATATACGTGTTTAGATTCATCAAAGTGATCCATTCTGCACGTGTGGAAATATGAAGTCTCTTTACATAATCGACCGTATTTGCTTGAACCTGGCTGAGGACACCCTTTACAGTTGTTGCCAAGGCAACAGTCAAGGAAAGTTTGTCAGTTGCACGATTAGGAACACAAGGCTGAAAAAAAAACAATTATTCTATGTTGCAAATTGAATGCTTTAAACACATTTCAACTAGTGGTTAGGTATACTGGTCTCACATTACAAAACTTGCAGGTCTTAAGCCAAGATAGCGAAAAAATGAAAAACTTTTGTTCCTGTCAGCATCCATTGATATCACACTTTTTGAGTAGATGTGGATGCTACATTTTTTTTTTCTAGGACATTGTTATCAACACAAAGATCTAATCTAAGCTTATATCTAGGCCTCCTTGTTTCTATACCAAGATAATCAAGGCAAATTATACATTTTTCTTCAATCTTTCTTTTTCTGTCTGGAATGGCTAGAGACAGCATACAAATTATGGGCACTTACGAATACTGTCAATGTAAATGTGAACCAAAGATGGCTGGGGTCAGAAACCTAGGAAATTTGACTGGCAGTTCTTAATTACACCCCAGCCAAGGAGGCTGTCTGGATTTTTAAAATACAGGTAGATCTCTAAAGCCACAAATATGTATCACTTGGCAAATTAACAAGAGATTCAGAAAATTTCTGAGAAAATTTCCACTTGGTAATAATGCAAGTGTGCTTCAGCTAAATAATATCTAAGAAATACTTGGTGGAAATATCAAATCAAATAAAGCTCAATTAAGTGTGTCCCACTTTAAATACAAATTGATGTTATACAAAGTTTAGAAGTCTGTCACGAAAAAACTGTGACCAATCTGCATACTCAAATGTACAGGTGTAGTTAGCATGTTAACAGGTCAAGTGTGATGTGGCACATTCTATGTGCTTTTTGTGACATCATATCACAGGTAGAATGCATGTGTTTAGTCATTTGAAGGCTAGCGGTGTAGTATGAATAGAGCTTATAAGTATAAAGATTTTCTGACATCAGTTTAGCAAAAATCATAAATGCGTGATATCATGTATATTACAGATAAGTTCATTTTTACTATATGTTAAATAACTTTACATTTTAAATCAAAGGATTTCAGTCAGATTTGGATGAGAATATCAATGAATGAATAGGAAGGGGAACATCCTGGGATGAAAGGGGATGAATTTTGAATTTACAATTGAAGGTGAGACTTCATTAAACCTTGACAATGTGATTAGGAGAAGTGTATTGGAGTGTTTTTCAAGCATTGGATTTGCTATGATTTGGCTGATGTGAAATGAAAAAGGTTGTGTCGTTAACACTGAAAAGTTGTAGAGTGATGAAGGCCCTTTGGGCCTCTTGTCCAGTATATGGTATAGACATGGACAGTTGAAGTAAAACCAGTATATCTAGCTCCATATAGTGTGTAAACGAAATGTCAACATCAAATTACAGGACGGATATATGTCATGTTATCAAGGTTTACGTTTAAAGTTCAGCCTTCGTTAAGTCCTATTGATAGGCCAGCAGTTGTAAAGATGGATAATTGATTAGTAATATGGTAATATTATCATCTGCTAAATTTTCAATTTTTACAGCGTTCATTACAAGTATAACAACAGACTACCAGGAAGTGATTATAGAACAGCTCGTACAACTTCGCTTTTGTCTCTGTCATATTTTGATAAGCAGTTTGTAGGCAATTTCTCCTTGAGATAATGTCAGTTAATTCAGTTGTAACAAAACAAATTGTTATTTTGAAAATTTGGTGATTAGTTAAAATATCAGTAATATAAATGATAAGTGATGTTTACGATAATCCAGGATCAATACATTAGATAAATCTACATTTAGTGATGTTTACGATAGTCCAGGATCAATACATTAGATAAATCTACATTCAGCGATGTTTACGATAGTCCAGGATCAATACATTAGATAAATCTACATTCAGTGATGTTTACAATAGTTCAGGATCAATACATTAGATAAATCTACATTCAGTGATGTTTACGATAGTCCAGGATCAATACATTAGATCAATCTTCATTTAGCAATGTTTAAGATGGTCCCAGATCAATACATTAGATAAATCTACATTCAGTGATGTTTACGATAGTCCAGGATCAATACATTAGATAAATCTACATTCAGCGATGTTTAAGATGGTCCCAGATCAATACATTAGATAGAGAAATCTACATTCAGTGATGTTTACAGTAGTCCAGGATCAATACATTAGATAAATCTACATTCAGCGATGTTTAAGATGGTCCCAGATCAATACATTAGATGGATAAATCTACATTGAGTGATGTTTACGATAGTCCAGGATCAATACATTAGATAAATCTACATTCAGCAATGTTTACGATAGTCCAGGATCAATATATTAGATAGATAAATCTACATTCAGCAATGTTTATGATAGTCCAGGATCAATACATTAGATAAATCTACATTCAGTGATGTTTACAGTAGTCCAGGATCAATACATTAGATAAATCTACATTCAGTGATGTTTACGATAATCCAGGATCAATACATTAGATAAATCTACATTCAGTGATGTTTACGATAGGCCAGGATCAATACATTAGATAAATCTACATTCAGCAATGTTTACGATAGTCCAGGATCAATATATTAGATAGATAAATCTACATTCAGCGATGTTTATGATAGTCCAGGATCAATACATTAGATAAATCTACATTCAGTGATGTTTACAGTAGTCCAGGATCAATACATTAGATAAATCTACATTCAGTGATGTTTACGATAATCCAGGATCAATACATTAGATAAATCTACATTCAGTGATGTTTACGATAGTCCAGGATCAATACATTAGATATATAAATCTACCTTTAGTGATGTTTACGATAGTCCAGGATCAATACATTAGATAAATCTACATTCAGTGATGTTTACAGTAGTCCAGGATCAATACATTAAATAAATCTACATTCAGCGATGTTTACGATAGGCCAGGATCAATACATTAGATATATAAATCTACCTTTAGTGATGTTTACGATAGTCCAGGATCAATACATTAGATAAATCTACATTCAGTGATGTTTACGATAGTCCAGGATCAATACATTAGATAAATCTACATTCAGTGATGTTTACGATAGTCTAGGATTAATAAATTAGATAGATAAATCTCGGTCCATTTGATATTAGTTTTACATGACTTAATATCATGATGAATATTTCAAGACTTGTTAAGATGTCTTGGTTTACCAAACAAGATTAAAGGTGGACGTAGGGGATGGGCCATGATTCAGCGATTATTCTGTAGAGGATGTGACCTTCCCATAGAATTGTGAAGCAATAACAACCAGGACGATGGTTCTCTCCCACTCTGTTTGGAGTTGTTTACTTGTGGGCGTTGTATAGATTATATGTGATCTGTAGGAGTACTGTTTGTCACACACCCCCAGCTGTGGTGGCTTATTATTTAGTTTCAAGTTGGTTGAGTATTACCATCACTAGACAAAATTCAAGGTCAATTAAACATTTGACTGACAGCTAATGTTACTGCACCATTACAGACACACCTTTAGAGATGTTGTGTTGTAGTCCGGAATGATACCATTAAAGAATTGTAATACAGATATTACCCTGACTATTAAATTGTCAAACTTGGGTAAAGGAAGAATTGCAAATAATTTACCAGAATGTCTAAAAGTCAAGCCGTGATATTATTTCTATATTGCCCAAGTTGCCCAAGTGAAACCCCCTTAATATCATGTTCTATTTGTAAGGGGGAAATGTGATAATAAGTGGAATGTGACATTAACAGATGTGACAT